CAACTAAAAAACGCAGTTCTTGGGGGGAGAACTGCGAACCAACGGAACCAGACAACTCCTCCAAACCAATCCAATTTGATTGACGTATGTGTAGAAGGTTTAAATGTTCTTGCTCTAGTTGATACCGGCGCCGCAATTTCAGTTATAAGCGAAGATGTCTGCAAAAACCTTAAGAAAAGTCCGAACTCCCTTTCACGGTACTTGTTTACAAGGAGCGGGAACCAATTTGATATATCCCTCCGCATTGTGCACGGCGAGGGTGGTAATACAAGATGCCTGCCATCACATAGAGTTTGTTGTTTTACCAAATTGTACACACTCACTTATCCTTGGCTGGGACTTCCTCTCACTTAACTCGGCAGTAATTGACTGTAGTCATCCGGAATTATTTTTGACCACTCTTGACGTCTGCAATACAGCTACTGATCACAGTGCGAAAATATCAGTTGAAACCGACTCGGTTATTTCTCCACTCACAACACACGTATTACCACTCTTATCGACAACCGCTTACACAACCGATGTCGTCGTACAACCATCGAGCACATTTCTCGCGAGAGGCATAGTTGTACCGCACGCACTTATCCGTTTCATCGATGGAAAAGCTCTCATAGCTGTCTCTAATGTTAGTACTGAGTCCGTTCTCATTCCACATGGTACAGTTGTCGTGACTGCGACACCACACTCACCCGTTTCTCTGTGTTCTATATCCGCCCCTCAAACCAAATCTTTGCTTACCCAGAACTGTAAAACATTGTCTCTGCATGCAACAATTAGCCAAGATCTTGACGAATCAAAAAAACGCCAACTCCTATCTTTGCTAGAGCAGAACAGAAAAATATTCGACATCGTATCACCTGCCCTTGGTCAAACCCACACGACAGAGCATCGGATCCACATTGAAGATTCTGCTATTGTTCATCGTCGTCCGTACAGGGTTTCCCCATCAGAGCGTTCCATAATCGAGGACCATGTAACTGATATGCTGAAAAAGGGTGTAATTCGTCCTTCACGCAGTTCATTCTCGTCACCGGTAGTCCTGGTCAAAAAGAAGGATGGAGGCATTCGCTTTTGTATCGATTACCGCCAACTGAACAAAGTCACTCGTAAAGACCTTTACCCTATGCCACGCATTGACGACCCACTGGACTCCTTGCAGGGAGCTGAATATTTTTCATCTGTTGATTTACGGTCCGGTTAATGGCAGAGCCCGGTTAATGAAGAGGACAAAGAAAAAACTGCGTTCATCACACCGGATGGCTTATATGAGTTCAACGTCATGCCCTTCGGACTCTGCAACGCGCCAGCGACTTTCGAACGCAAGATCGACAACATCCTTCGAGGCTTAAAATGGAAAACATGCCTATGTTACTTAGATGACATTATAATCTTTTCTTCCAACTTTGAGGAACACCTTGAACGGCTTTCCCAGGTCCTGTCCTGTTTATCTGCCGCCAACCTCCAGCTTAATACTAAGAAATGCACGTATGCGGCAAAAACAATTAAGATCTTAGGGCATGTCATCAGGAAACACGGTATCAGACCTGACCCCGACAAAATAAAAGCGGTTTCTGACTTCCCTCGACCACAACGCCAAAAGGAATTGCGAAGCTTTCTAGGTCTGTCGTCGTACTTCCGTCGTTTTATTCGCGGCTTTGCAACCATTGCCGCTCCACTTAACAACCTTCTTAAGAACAATTCCACCTTTACCTGGTCTCCTGAGTGCGAATCTGCCTTCACATCCTTAAAAGCAGCCCTGATCCTGTCCTTCGACACTTCAACAACAACTCCGCCACCGTTCTCCACACAGACGCTAGCGGCTACGGCCTCGGAGCAATTCTTCTACAACCCGACGACTCGTGCGTAGAGCACGTCATTGCTTATGCGAGTCGATCTTTGAGCAAGCCAGAGCAAAATTATACAATAACAGAGAAGGAATGTCTTGCGGTGGTTTGGGCGATCGCAAAGTTTCGTCCTTACTTATACGGCCGTCATTTTTCAGTCGTCACTGATCATCATGCGCTCTGTTGGCTAGCCTCCCTAAAAAATCTTTCAGGTCGTCTCGGACGCTGGGCGTTGCGCCTGCAGGAATACGATTATACAATTGCTTATAAATCTGGCCGAAAACACCAAGATGCCGACGCCCTCTCACGATGCCCGCTACCTCAACCCTCGACAATTACGACTATATTAAATATTGAGACGAGTCCATCCCCGACAGAACTATTTGATGGAATAGGGATCGCCACCCAACAACGCCAAGACCCCCAGCTACGTAATATCATTGCCCAAATGGAAGGAACCTCACCTACGACAAACGCTCGCTCCCGAAGCCAGCTCTTGCATTATCAGCTTCAAAATGATATTTTGTACCGTCGAAACTACTCGCCCCACGGACATCGTTGGCTTTTGGTTATTTCCCGTACTTTACATGCCTCGGCCCTTGAACCTCTGCACGACGATCCACAGCCGGCCACTTAGGGCTCTTCAAAACTTACTGTCGTGTCAGAGAACAATATTTCTGGCCCGGAATGTACACCGCGGTGACAGAGTATGTATCTTCTTGTCTCGTATGCCAAAAACATAAGTGTCGCACATCTGCACCCACCGGCCAATTACTGCCACCCCCGCTGCCCTTCACAACCTTTCGAGATCGTAGGAATTTACTTGTTTGGACCACTACCACGCACAGTCAATGGAAAACGATGGGTTGTAACCGCTGTCAACCACCTTACACGATACGCAGAAACAGCGGCTCTTCCAACTGACTCCGCCACCGAGGTTGCGGATTTTTTCGTCCACCAGCTACTCCTCCGACATGGAGCACCCCGCGTGCTGCTCAGCGACAGAGGCCGTACCTTCCTGTCACAAACAGTGCAAGAGGTCTTAGCTGCTTGTGCAGTCATCCACAAAACAACATCCGCTTACCACCCACAGACCAACGGGCTCACTGAACGCTTTCATCGTACCCTTGCGCACATGATCGCAACGTACGTATCATCAGATCATACCAACTGGGATGCAATTTTACCATTCGTAACATACGCATATAATACGGCCATTCAAAGTACAACTGGGTACTCGCCATTTGAGCTCTTCCACGCAAGACAACCGACATCACTGCTCGACACAGTACTCGAGTATACTCCAACTGAGCCCCATACAACTCTCCTCGATGACCTTGTATCCCGTGCTGAAGACTCCCGTCAACTTGCGCGACTTCGCACTGTTCAACACCAACAGGAACGGAAAACCCGACACGACTCCATCCACAAGAACGTCAGCTTTCAACCTGGAGACCTTGTTCTCGTCTCGTTGCCAACAAGCAAGCCCGGCCTCTCTGAAAAGTTACTGCCTCATTACATCGGCCCCTACCGCGTCATCGCTCAAACAACTCCTGTCAACTTTCTCGTGGAACCAGTACAAACACCCACCGATCGCCGCTACCGCGGCCGCGAACAGATTCACGTCTCCCGACTGAAACCTTTCACCCCCCGCTCAACGGCACCCCTTCCTTCCCTCCGTGGCCAGGTGGCCACCTTTCCACAACCGGGGGAAAACTGTGAGGGCGCTTCTGCGTAGCACTGCCCACGGACATCGTCGTCGTCGTCGGGTAGCGCGATCGGCATCGTCAGCTGATTAGTGGCACCTTTTTTTAAACGTTCTATAGCTATAAGACTCTGATAAAAAATCGCCATCTGACCGACCTGTCTCTGTCTCACAATGTATATATATATATATATATATATATATATATATATATATATATATATATATATTATAGATTATCAATTTCTCTGCTGAGTCAGACCCACTTGCTGCATTTCCGGTTAAAAAGCTTATTGTCCAATCCCTGACACGAGGATCGCTGTCTTTTCCGTCTCCCAATTTACCCAGGAGTTTCCTGTATCAATCTCCATGGTATTTGATTTATCTTTCGTGTCAAGTTGCCTAAAAAGCAGGCATTCCGAGGTTATATTCAACGAAGCAAACCTCACCATAAAATAACATTTTGTGCCAAGTTTTACTGTTTTATTCTTTTTTTTTTCCCGTCAAATCATGGAAGATATGCAGGGTGCAAATTTGATATTTGTTTTCTCAAACTCGTTGAGGCTGATTCAAAATGCTGGAAGGCAGTTGGTGATATTACATTTAGAGAATTGCGCGTCTTGAGAGAGGATAAATCCCTAACATTCTTCGTAAAAATGTTTTAGTTCGTGTGAAATACTGTGTATCTGTTGCCGCATGCTGCATCATCGAAGAGTGCTCTGTTTACAAAGCAAGAAACATGTTTTTGATCAAGAATGCAAACAATTGTCACCATCAGATCAAATGCGCATGTAAAGGTGGATATTCCGAGCCTAGCAAACTCCCAATAAAGGTTTATTGTCCTATCAATGAGAAAAAGGAATACATATCTCTGGAAAGGCCAGCTGAGAACGATTAGTTCAACAATGGTGCTTGCTGAGGTTAGAAGAACAATATTTTGTAAGATTTCATGTTGTGGTTTCACCGGTAGGACTTTTTTTTAGAAATGGGAGTATTACCTCGCGACTGGCGACGCGTGAAATGTTAGGACCGCTAGAGATTTTCGAATATTAAAATTTCGCGTGTTTCATGTTACTAATCCCTACAGGACGCGATATATTTTGTTGAATATGTCCGAATATGCAAAGGGGCTCAGAAGTCTATTCAGAAACAAGCTTACGACATTCTTCTTTACATACCCGTATTGAAGCTTTTATAGAATAGTGCAAGCACGTTCCATTGAAGGAACACAAATCATATAAGGTAGCATATCGCGTCATGGCAACCATACCTCCCTAATTTCTCATCAGTCACAGCTGATCATATCATATTATTGCTTCTTTAAGAAGCAATTCAAAACTGTGAACGCCAGGCACGCAACAAACACATCGGTCCCTTCAAAGCATACAATAGTGGAACTTGCGTGTGGTTATTACAATGAGAAGACAAGTTATAGACATCGGTGTGGGCACTCAAAGGTGGCTTGACTGCCCAGCAGTGATAGCACCGTTCCTGTTCCCGTCCTGCATTCCCGTTTTTTTAACGAGCCCATCCGGCGCACTGAAGTTCTTAAATGCGTCTTCCACGAGAGGTTTGTCGTCGTTGGTCCCACTCGGCTTCTCGGGCCGCTTGCTAGGCATCAGGATTAGTTTTTCGAGGCGCCCCGTTGGTGCCTCGCAGACGACGAACAGCACGAAGCTCAGGAGGTAGCTGGTAACAAGAGCCCCGAAGCACTGCGTCACCTGGAAAGAAAGGTGCAGGAAAGACTGTCTCTTAATTGAGCAGTTCATCTCACAAGTGCCTTAGAAAGTTGAGCGCCGATTAAAATGGAGTGTCTGAGAAAGGGAGGCGACATACACGGTAACGGGTCGAGTTGATGAGCACAGAGGTGATTAGTTTTCATACTCAGGAACGCATCTTATAATTGCATTTATTAATTTCACCGGCGTAATGTTTATGGACTTTTTTTGGCATAAAGGCGCTTAAATGTTTTTTTTGTTGTTGTTGTCTTTTTGATTGTAGAAATTAAATGTAGATTTGACACCGATGGTGGATCTGAATTTCCGTAATTATAACAGCGTTTCAGAATAGGGGCACCCAAAGCTTGGGAGCCTCTTAGGCTTACCACTGCGTATGGGACGAACCCAAACTGCGTTTTGGGTTTTGGGTCGGCGCTCGTTCTTAACGAATATTTAAATAGTAGCATGGGGCCTCCATTCGCGTGGGGCCTGGTTACGTCGGCAGACGTGCCGATCCCTTTCCGCTCGTTTCGGAGCGAATTCTTCATTGTCGGTGCCGTATTAGCCACGTTTGTTGCCAGTGAATGATGCCGCCGGCTTTCGCTTCGGTTTATCTCGCTCAAAAGACAAATCCTGAGCATGTAGCTCGCCTCATTTTAAAGATCGCCATCTGATTCTGGCCCTTCCTAAGCCTAAAGATACGCGTTAACCGTTGGCATGGCAACGTCACGCTAGTCATAGAGTCATTGAATGTTCCCACAGTAGCGAAATCCATTTAGTTCGCTTACCGGAAGTGAATCCCTTCAGAACCCAGCTTTGATTGGATGGTTTACCCTTGGTGGAAGTTATCAGTCTCCCATTTCGGAGGTAGGCCGAAAAAAACAAAAGAAGTATCTAAATCATTTCCTCGTTACCACGGCAACAGCGGGTGCCGAATGATGGGAGCTCTGGGAATCGATGTGTTAGGACTGTACGAAACGTGCGTTGGTTTTCTGTAGATATTTTTTTTTTTTTATATCAAGTAGTTGCTAATCTGGTTCGCCAAACAAGGCTACCGGCTCGTATGCTCGCTCCGGTGGCGCTGGTGCTGCGTCTAAAACTCTAAGCCTGAGACGCTAAGCCTAACACTCGACTTCAGTGTGTTTTGAGGCGACAGAGAGAGACGTAACAGCGAGAAGGATGTCACGTACCGCTCGAAACGAAAGAAAAAAAAAAACTAATAAAAACAAACCAGTGACATCTCAAGTCATGAACGTGGATTGAAGAGCTTACACGACAACAAACGCTGTTCTGTACGCGCTTCGCTTCGACCGTGCAGTGCAGCGCCATGTTGGGGTCGTGACTGCTGTGCTGCGACTCGACTCTCGAGCGAAAATTGGGAGGCTCGGTACTCCGGAAACATTCAGTGACTCTAGCTACTTCGAGACCATGAGCGGATTCTCTTAGCTCGATCAGCCGAGCGTTCGTCACACTTTAGCTGTAGCTTAAAAACAAGTATTAAAAGGGTTTTCAAGTCGCTCCAGCTCAGACCTAAATAAAGCAACTGCTTGTAGAGTATGCTGGACCGCCTTCGTTCTGGTTTCGGCATTGTTGAAGGTCAGTGACAGAAGTTCAACGCGGCACACGAGCGTGACAAAGAATCTGAGAACGAGCAACTAAATAAAGCGCTACATATTGAATTGTTTTGACTAAAATCGTCTAACGTTATACTAATTTTAGTTTGTCTTTTGTAGCCGGGTTCATTAGGTTTTACGTTAACTATGATTTCCAAACATGAAGTTATTGTTAAAAGCATGTGTTTACGTTTCTTTTTATATATGGTTCCTTCTTTTGAATATTACGCTTGACAGCGTCGACGACTTCGCAAGCCGGAAACGCAAGCCCTCCGCTCTGTGTTGAGAAAATCCTACTTTATAAGCCGGCAGCGACAATCTTGTTGCGTTTGTGTCCCCCGATTTTAGGGACACCTATACGTGTGGGGCCATCTGCTCTAAAACCCTTTAATGTAATCTTACGGCTCCGTTAAAATGTATGGTTTGCTCCAATAGCACGTAGATACATAGTACACCAATAAAAACATAAAAAGAGGCAACATAACTGCGGAAAACGAAAACACAGAAAAGCTTGTAGGTGCATTAATTCAGTTAAAGTTAGTTTCATCGTAAACTCGCTGTCAAACCATGTACTATCTCTAATAAGGTACCGAGAAACTAAAAGATTAACTATACTATTGTGGGGATTTGAGGTAGTTAATATACAAGCTGTCTTATTTTTATTTCTGCCTCTGCGCAGCTTTACTACGTTAAACGTTTAACTATGTTTATAAGGAAAATGCGAACATGTATTTTTAGATTATGAGATCAGACAGTTTCCCTGAGGTATCTTTATTTTGTTATTAAAATTATTTTCAAGGATTTTAAATATTTGGGATAAACAGGCTTTATTTCAAGGTAATGTCTTCTGATAAACATTGTGATCAGTGTTATGCGACGGTTTTCTATGGCTGACTGAACCACTTAGCTTTTATAAGCTTCAAGCCTGATGACTATGCAAAACTTTGGATTCTACACGCATATCAACAAACATTGTGTACACCATTTTCACTACAAAAATTAGAATATGCGTGTAAAAGCGAACTTTGTTAGGGTGGTCAGTTGGGCGAGTAGGTGTCTGATTAACCATGGTTTAAGATGCGCACAAAAAGACAAGGACTAAGAAAAGAAACACGCAGACAACAGACAAGTGCGCTTGTTTGTTGTCGGCGTGTTTCTCTTCTCAGTCTGTCTTTTTGTGTGCATATTTAGTCCTGAGTAAAACAAATAACGACAACGAAAAGCTTAAGCCCCATGGCGGTCTCAGTTCTTCATCACTTACCATAGTGAAATGTGACAAAAAGAGCCTTTATCTCGCTGTGCAGAGGCGAACCAAGTAGTATGGGACATGAAGTAAATAAACGCCGAATGAGAGCCGGCTGAGGGGAGCGAACGCTCCCCAAGAGAGGAACTGGGAGATGAAGCCTGTGAAAGAACATCACGAACATAACCATTGCGTGGAGAAAATTAGAACTCAAGTTATTAGGGTAAATAAAATATTACCCTCATAACCAATATTTACTTCTCACCGCCGAAACAAGTGAAAGATGGAACACTTATTTTATTTTAATATATTTCGTATTAGAAATCTTGCCAATACCAGGATGAAACCATATGAATGTTTAGTTACGGAAATACGTACAGACACATGTATCGTCATAAAATAGTAATATATATATATTTTTGCCCCTACACAATTTTTTTTTTACACCCCTACACCTTTTTGTTTTCGTGAATTGCTACAGTGGCTTTTATTTTACGTTTTAATTGACTAAAATCCTCCGTTTCTTTTATAAACTTCAAACGCGCCATTATTTTGTTCATTTTTATTGAAAGTACAAAGATTGAAGTGGGCGTCCAAACTTCCGCCTGACATGATAACCGTAGAACAGAGCAGTGGGTTGGGAGAAATTAGGCTGACTAGTAAATATCTAAAATTGGTAGTGGCTTTTGCAGTAACAAGGAAGCCACGTACTGCTATTTTTTTAAGGAAATTTTCAAATTGTTTGCGAGGTCACGACATTCTCAAACTTGCCAATAAAATGATGGTAAAAAATAGGAAGGGCAAGACATGGTTTATAGCAGTAGTAGCCTTAAGACGATGATGGCATACTCACTTGCCCTTCCGGTGGCGCATGCAAAGGTGAGCCACGAGAGCCAGATAGCCCAAAGAAGGCGTTCGGAGAATGCGAACGACAGCTTGGCCCATTCCGGTGGATGCGCACCCCTGTTCCACTCGTACATGCTCAGGGTAGCTGTCAGTCCGCATATCGCAGTGATGAGCCACATGCCTGTTTGGAACAGCTGAAACAAAACCGGAAATATGCTTCTTTTATTGCAGCGTTGCGCACTTGATTAGCAGTGTAACTTTCGCTTCACGTATAGTATTAAAGTTAACATTAGTTTTTCGCCGATTGAAATTCAATTGCAATTTTGGGAGAACGATGGACGTACTTTTCATATTTAAGTGCCAACCCTCCTGTTTTGTTTATGTTTTTGCCAGCAAGAAGTTTATGTCCATGTGCATAATGATTGTACCCTGCGAATCAAGTTGTTAATCACAATGTTTCCGCGGCATCCTTAGGAGCCTGCGGCCAACATTGCAGTTTTTGTTTGTTTGTTATATAAATAGAAGCCCATGAACAGGAAGAAATGAGTGCGCGCGGGGTCGCGTGATATCCTGGTGCTTCCGTTCGAATGATCAGGGTGAAGATGCAAAGCTTGTGGCATCGGTCTCTACTCACTGCTCGTTCGAGCTCGAAGGCAGAACGCCGTCGTCTGCTGTTCGGCGCTCGCTTTTTTCACTGCCTCTTTGGCTGGCGCCGACATACTACCATTGCCCCCTTGGCGTAGTAATGGAGTTCTGGGCTTCTAATCATGGGGACGTAAGTTCTATTCACGTCAGGGCGCGTTCAAAATTTGCTTTCTTCTAAATTATATGTGCTTACACTATTGAAAAATCCGGCAAAAACTTCCAGTGGCGTCCGGTGAGCCTCCAGTGACATCCGGTGAACTTCTAGTAATATCCGGTGAATTACCAATGACATTCGGTGAAACCTGTCCAATGTTTACCCGTTTTCATCCAAAACCAGCGTAGTTTACCAGTGCTCGCTGGAATATTTGCCGGCAAACAGATTTTGCTCGAGCTTTTCACCGTAACCGGGTTTTCAAATTTCGCTGGAATGTCACCGGCAGCTATTTTTGTTTACCAGACTCCCCGGTTTTGCTGGAACTGTTACCGGAAACGAGTGACTTGTTTCACTTGTTTACCGAGATTCACTGTAAGCCGACGCAAAAGGAGGGGAAGCCGAGACGAGCCGGGGACTGGGTCTGTAAGTCAGGCGCCTAAAACGCACCAAGGACAAGTCCCCACGCGCCCTCTCTCCCTCGCATTGGGTTCGTTGTTAAAATGTCTGGAGGTCCTTTTGCTCTCTTGAAGAAAACCGGTTTCTTTCTCCGTAAACGAGCAGCGGCCCCGAACGGATGCTCAGTGTAGGCCATGTGTGCGGCCTGTATCTTCCAGAGCAGGTGGGTGCGCGGATAAAAAGAATATATCTTTCAGTGACCTGTTTCTTGCGCCTTACGTCCGTCCGGCTTCAGAAGCATCCAATGAGCCAAAAAGACGTCGGAGACGCCGTGACTGTGCCCGTGATTTCTCAACGGCGGCGGATGTTCGTTCTGCGCGTTCATGGTTTTCGCTACGCGTGCTACTGACAGTGTTTATGTGTGCGCGTGGTGCACCCGCGGCGACGGCATCTGTGAGGACACTATGACTGTGCCCATGATATATTCTCAACGGCTGCGGATGTTGGTGCACGTTCGGGGTTATCACTAAACGTGCTACTGACAGTGTGTGTTTGTGTCCAAGTGGTGCACCTGCTTCGTTTTATTAGTTGAACTACCGTACATCTAGAAATTTACCCAGCGGCATTGTGAGTACCTTAAAAGATATGTTTTGCGACAAAGAACTCGGTTGTTCCTATTTGGTATGATTGATTTTGTCTACAGCTCTGCAAATTGTTTCTTTGGTATCAACCCTGTGAAATAAAGAAATAGAACTTTCAGGCCTATATGAACTGACCGCGTTTTATTTATTACCGAATCGTTCAGCGGTTGGTAAACATACACTACCCACAGTTCACAGGCTTCTTTCTAAATACCTTCCGTGGACGTCCGAAGAAAAAAAAAAAAGTAAGCTCTGGCAAACTGTGGCAAATGCAATGATTTCCGGTGAATTCCGGTTTTACTGGAAGTAAAAAGAGTGACATGATATAGTAAAATGATTTTTTCTGAAAACTACATTTCAGTAAAAAATATTTTTCAATATAGATAGGAACTATTCTGAACAGCATTTTACAAGATTTATAGCAGTTTCCCAGGCGCTCCGTAGTTAAACGTAGCACAAAGTTGCAGTCAAGGGCTCAATGAAGTCCCATGTCTTCGGCACTGCCGCTAGCGAAGGTCGGCCTAACTAGACCAGACTCGGCGCCCCAGATATGGGCCTCTGTACAACCCGCCTCTATCGCTCCCAGGCTCCGGGACTCAGGCTGCTAGTGTGCAAGTGCGTCGATCCAGGGGAGGGCACGCGGAGCATTCTGGTCTGGCTAGCCTGGCGCGAAACCGAGGAACCTCTATTCCGTGACGTCGCCGACGAAGTGCGGCGGCCGCCACCGCCTGTCGCGGTGGCTACACCGAACCGCCGGAATGTAGATTGACGGCTCTTCGACAACGTCACGTAAGCATTGCCCATGCATGCGCGCGCCCGCGTGTCGTCAGACTATATCGAGCCATTTAGGTTTTTAACGTTAGCTAGCTGAAGTTTTGCTTGGTGATCTTAGTTTGGACCTTATGAAGTGTCCGAGTCCAGGGTGAATGTGACTCGAGCCTTGCAGTATCAAAATGGAACTATCCTAATGAAAAACACTTTCGGAAGGGAAACATTTATGTGTTCAGATTTTTTAAAGAAATCCGATAAAATGCGAAAAGCTTTCGCCAGTAGAATTTTTGTTGATTCAGGTCTCGTTCATGAAGTCCCGATTCCGAGGTCACAACTTCAGTGGTCCCCAGGAGAGGATGTTTTAGCTTCATTTGAAATTTCGTTGTAGAGACAAAAGGTTCGGCAATCTGGAGACAAACAATTCATTGTTTGTCTCCAGATTGGAGCGTACAAATTGTACTTCAATACAAAAGGGGTAGTGTTTTTATAATAGTGAAATCTATGATACCTTATATTTTATTAGAGGTAGAGGTTAGCTGAAATTTTCATGCTCCCGAGCGACTACGTCCAGGTTTCTTTTTATTATTTTAAAAGATCAACAGTTATTGATGCAACGCCTCTTTTCTATATTTGTCACGTGACAGTTAATATTACGAATGACAAAAAAAATGAAAAATGAAGCAGCGGAAGTATAATTCTATACAAGCGATTTTTGTTCTATTCATGGTATGTTTGTTCTGGAATATTCTTTTTTTAATTTAATAAAAATAGCTGCACTGTAAAATTAGATTTCGAAAGTTTTTAAAGATTCAAAATGCATCAACAACAAACTCTTAGAAAACACGCTTCGAAGTTTATTAAGAATGAAGTCCGAAAAACGAAATCCTATATTTCATTTCATGATAAGTTCAGATGCAGGCGACGCTACAAGGTGCTGTGACCAATCATACGGCGTTAATAGTACATCATCATGGTCTTAGGCATGTTTATGTACGTCCTCTATCACACTGAACCAATCCCATAATGATAAGGCCTTGTGATTTGCGGTTTAAAGCTGATAGATAGGTATCATTAGCCGATTAGTATCGGCTGCCTCTGGACTTAAGTTGAAGCAAATTATAGAGCTTTCCATCGTTTATCACCCGGCTGAAAAATGATAACTCACTAAGCTGTGGATGTATGCGCAGTGTCCAATATGCAGCGCACCAGAGCTACAGCGCATGCTCAAAAGGCACTCCACAGCCCAGCAGACAATGATGGCAGCGCGCAGATGACGATTTTTGCAAAAGGTTTACGGTGGCAGGTTAAACTAAAACTATATCAGCATATCACGTGATGAGCTGGAAGACACGCTCCACTAGCGTTGTCACTGATTATGTCGATAACAAAGCGGCTCTTTCTAGTATTTATGTCAATCGTTGTGATAATATGTTTCTGCGCTCTCAATAATGTCGGCTGGTAATTAAAGGGTTATATTAAAAGTAAATTGAATCAAATTGACACACTTCTACATTTAGATGTATCACGTGCCATAAAATATGGTTTAGTTTTTGTTTCAACTAAGAGAGAATGAGCCGAGTGATGGCATCTCGGTTACATTAGGTCGAGCCACAAGAATCGAACGCTACCTGCCGTTTGTTTACGTACATTTTAAATGGCCCACGTAACAATGTCATCAAAGCCGCTTACTATGCGAACAAGACGTGGGGGCGCCAGTGTAAGTTTGGAAATGTAGAATTACCCGAGACTGCAGTGACGACAAAAACCGGCAGGACATCAGTCCCTCAAGGCAGTAACTGGATAATAATATCTCAAACAGTCAAGTTGCTAAAATAAAAGTTATGGAATATGTGTCGCGGATTCGAGATCTGCTTCGATGTACATAAACTATCCTGCCGTTATTTGTTGATATAGAGGGATGCTGTGTGTTGCGAAGTTGTGATCTGCTTCCATGGGTATAAATACTCCTCCCGTCATTTAACCCAACAGTACTTCCCAAGAAGCCTGCTTGTGTGTATTCAAGTGTAATGCCAAAAGGCGCTGCTGGTATTGGATAAATAAATAAATAAAATGAATAGTCGGTGAATTGCGTATCCTTCAGGGGTTCATTTAAGCAGCCGATTATTATTTCGCCTAGCGCTTTAGAAATGCGTCACTTCTATTCGCCTTGTTTTTCATCCACACAATTGATTTACATCCCAGCCGCTGATTGCGTATAGCACCCACTTTTAAGCTGTTAGTTTGTAAATGTGTGATAATCTTGGTCTTTTCTTTTTGTTCTGGCCAATGAAAGTGACGGTTCGGTCATGTTCATTCTTCTCCGAAAACGTCAATATATATTGTGACCTCCTCAGTTAACAAAAATAAGTATAGCTATCCAGGTCCTATATACGTGAAAGGTTGACTTTATATTAAAGTGTTTCAAAACATGATCGCGTCCAATTTAATTGTCCATGCGGCTTTTTAATGATAACCCGAACCTCGAAGCCCAGGCCTTTTCATAGTCAGTTGAGTCGTGGTGAGCACAGCCTGTACCGTCTCACCATGTTTAACACACCACCTACATGTCTCCTTCGAATGCTAAATGACTAATGCTAAGGAACGTCTCATAATGCATTGTGGAGGACCTTCCAGGGAGGTCATTCTTTAGACAGGTCTACTTTCAAAGCTTAGAATTAGTATTACACGACACAATACACCGATGCAAGCATGTACATTTTTGACAGTATATCTACCAGATTCACATCTATTAAAAAAGCTCCGGCACTAGCCACCAAATTTTGAGTCGTGAGATCAGCTGCAGAGAAGACCGAACCAGTAAGCAGCCCCTAATCAACACATAGCCGTGGTAACCCGCAGTGCCATCCCCTTACACTCTCCGCTGCGCTTCATTTTAACATCGTTAGCACCTCTCTGGCATCTGTACATTATCTGATCACACCATCATTAGGTGCTGCTCCAAAGGCCTCCATGATATTAGCTGGCTTACTTTGTATGGGGTATGACGGGAGAACCAAATATAAAAATTACCGTTACCAAAAACTTTGATGCGATTAAAATACATTATATTGGCGTAGTATATTCAAGAAGCAAAACGTTGAAAAGGTTTATTTTCAACATTCAACAGAAATCGGCTAAAATGTCGTTAATAAATCTCTAAAAAAACGTGCTGCTTTTTGACTGTGGTATATTTCTCCTGAAATTAAACACCCGTCGAAGTTATGGGCCTTAGAGACAATCGATGGGATATAAGTAGGAAACAGTCCCAGTGGCCGTAAGATTTATGTGGTTTCATCGCCGCTTGTTAGCTGAAAGATGGGTAGTGAAATCACAAATAACTGTTTACTTGCCGTGCCTACGTTAGTTGTGCTAATCATGTTTCACTCTCTTCAATGTCCAACATTTAACTGCTCTGAAGGGTAAGGCTTCCTAGAATCACAGCTCAGTTTCTCTGCGGAGCTCTGGTAAGTGCGCTTGAATGTAGAGAGGCATCTGAGAGATCCGCTGAGATCTATGTTCACCAGAGTCCATTGAGTGTTATACACTCAATGGACAAACGTGTTCAAAGTCAACAATTGGTATGATCTGCTAGTTCAATGAGAAACAAGGCACCCTCCAGAGGCACCTACCTTGCTGATTTTCACAGAGCTGTACTTGATAAGCAGCAGTTGTGTAATGGCGCCAAGGAAGAATGCGGCTCCGTGGTAGGACGGGTGAGGGTACACCTCATTCAAGGTGCCGACGGCGAGCCTAAAAAATGCGATATAATGTATTAGGAGCGACGACCCTTTTCAATAAAACGTAAAACGAAATTGCGTTTTTATCTTAAAAAAAACAAATTTTTATCTCACGCTCCAAAAGATCACAAAGGACCACTTAAAAAAAAAGTGTAACTTCAAGGTTTAAGCTAGAGTTCGGTTACACTCTACTTTCACAGCAATGAGCTTCTCTCAGATGGAGAGGAATTTGACAAATATAGAAATTAACCACCGATGAATTCATTGCCCAACACTTTACGCGGGAGTCACTAAAATAGAAGCAAAATCAAGTACGACGTTTTAAGCGAAAAGTAACGAAAATAAAATGACTATCGTTGTACGAGAATAAGGATAAACATAAGCGTGTAGTTCGCATAAACTGCGCCATTTTGGTAAGAAGTTGTAGTTTCCATAGGTTGTAAATTCAAGTTGTTTATGATAGAATCCGCAAATGCTTCCCACTATTACTGTGTTTACCATGTCACACGTACATGATGTCCCTTCCTCCTATCATATGTTTGTTTGTTGCAAGCTTATATGTCATGACCTTCTCATGTCATGACCTTACAAAGTATGGTATTTAGACTTTTGATTTATATTTTAAATATCTTACTACTAATTTTGAATTCAAGTGAATATCGATAAATTCTTCTAGCAATAGTCGTTTTCCACGAGCAGAAAGCTGTCATTTGTCTTGCCATATAAAACCTAGAACCTGCGCGCAACTTTTCATTTTGCTACTTAAACGAGCGTGCAGGCGAGCTGGTTCAATACTGACGTGGTGAAACCCGAGCGGGAGAAACCAGAACAGAAAATACAAAGCTCCGATCGGCTTGTGTTCTCCGTCCCGTTTATCCCCTCTCCTGGGTAACCATCTCGCATTTTGCGTTTTGGCGCTCGACTGGCGCACCGTTGGCTGTCTTTAGAAAGTCGCAGCGAGTTCGAGTGCCTTAAGGCGTTTGATAAGCACTAATTATCGAGACATATTGTCACGAATGACAAGTGATGAGGCTACTGTAACTGAAGAAACTAAACGTTTAATGAAGCGAACTTGTGCCCAAAAATAAAAAGGGAAAATAAGAAAACAGCAGAGCGTCGTGGGCGTCGACGTCGGCGAAACCGCAGGATCGAGCGCTGGGCTTGACTGGCTCCGGCATGCCACGCGGAGCCCCTTTTGTACATGCGTGGGCTCCTGGAACACTCGGCCTAGAACGGTCGGCTCGTAGAACATTCGTAACTGGATCGGACGAGAAGGTTCTGGAACTGACGACAACGCCATGCAGAAAGAATAAATAAAAGAACATTCCGCTCCCTGCAATCGAAACCGGATCCTTCGCGCGACAGTCAAGCACGCTGACCACTCGGCCACACGCGCGCTCGCTGGGCAACGCGCGTGGCATTACTCCTCTTTTATAAAAGCGCATCGCGTCGATGCGGCATGCCGAGAAAGAAAACACAAAAACAAACAAAAATAATGACAAACTATACGTAAACTTGTGAAATAGAGTCCTATCGACCGTAGTACAAAACACGATTGACAGTCCTATCGATCGTAGTCTGGCTTGAGGCGCACGACGTGAACGACTTCCGGTTGTGGAGTGCGGCGTGATGAGGTCCGTATTCGTGGAATCGAACCCGGATCCTTCGCGCGACCGTCAAGCACGCTAACCACTCGGCCACGCACGCGCTTTTTTTTTTCTTTCTTTATTAGGCCACGCACGCGCTCGATCGGCAACGCGCGTGGCAATATTTATCATAAAGTCCACTGAGCGCAAGCCGAAAAATAGTAGTTACACCTGCTTTGCGGCTGAGGTGCAGCGGCAGACCGGGTTAGGTTACCAATTTCTGGGATGCACTCACAGTTATCCAACACCGCTCACGCACTGGGCTTGTTTGCTTCAGGAACACGCAAAGAAAAACAACAATTGCCGTGACATTGCACTTCTGGTGCTCCCTAATGGCCCTGTTGTGTTATTTTGTATGTTTTTACCTTCGTCCGGGGGTTCGAGCATCCTTACGGCACGGCGCGTGCCCTTTCCCGGGGTCGATGGGCCCCAAAGGGAGGCGCGAACGTGAACGTAGTAACCTTACACCCGTTTATATAGAGCTCCGCATATCTTCTCCGTGTACGGAGGTGCTTTTTATTATTTTAGCTGCTCTTGACAGCTTCGTTCGGAATGTGTACTGACTTATGTACGCGCTTTATGCCGTTGATGGCACATCCCATCCCGTGTTGCCGAAATTTCGGGGTTGTACCGGGAATCGGCTATTGTGAACTCGAGAGGTATATTAAGGACTTGTACGTGCTTTTGTAGGGGTCGATGACTGGAATGTTTACAGAGTCGGTGGCGGAGGGCCGTTTTGTTTTGGATAACGCCAACTGAACTCATTTATTATTTTGCTTGTCGGGATTTGTGTAGCCGTACCACGGAGACGCGAATGTGTGTCAGAGGGAGAGAGTGAAAGAGAGGGAGAGAGAGCGACGAGGGTAGCTATGCTGGGAGCAGGAGAGTTGAGAAGGAAGAGTCAACTAAGAGATTTCAGAGGAGACGCATCGAGAGCGATGCAGGATGAGTTGAGATGAAAGTCCCATCGAGAGCGATGCGGAAAAATTGAGTAGATAAAGTGCAGAGGTGTGACTTAGAGAGTTAAACGGCAGAGGCCATCGAGTTTTGTGAACTACCGAACTTTAACTATGTTGTAATTTTTGTGTATAATACCTGCACATTAAACCAAGTTATTCAACCCTAAAAGCCTACGTTCCCGACATCATTCAAACCCAAGAGAAGAGACCCTTGACTGGCAATCGGCGACAACGACATCAGCACAGACCCGAAGACAACGAGAGACTTCACGTCACGAGACGAGATAAGGCGAATATAAACTTTACAGGCCTCTATTATCTTAAGGGGTCGGCTGCGCTTTGGCTTATGTGAAAGCGGAAGCATAATATTTGTTAATTACATAACAGTAGTCCAAAAGAGCTTAACGTTATTGCCCGGAGCGGCGTAAAGCACGGCAGCCTCACACCGAAACGGATCTGCCTCCTATGTTGAGGCACATTCTTCCGCGTTACTTTGGTTAGAGAATTCGCGTAGGCCTCTTTACTGCTTGCCAACTGTGTGCCTTGGCAGCCTCAAGCCACTATAGGGAATAATCCTTTTGTTAGAACAATACTTATATGTACAAAGAAATATAATGCTTACGTGAAATTATCTGCCATAGGAAGGGGGAATGGGGTGTACACAGTGTTATGTACCTCCCACATGGATATGGTGCAGGCGATCAATGACAGCACACTGAACATGATGACGGCACTCCACAGTCTCCTAGAAAGATAAAGTTTGTTTAATAACATATATAAAACGCTTACGTTTCTAAGACGACACACAACTAGAGACCATAGTAATTCAAGGCTCGATAACGGGACCTTGAGCCATACTAGCTACCTTGTAATGAAGAAAAAGTTTAAATGTAGTACCTACTAATATTCTCTCGTGGATATAAAATACCTAAGTGATACATTTTGTCTCGAACTGGTTTTGAGGAAGATCCATTCATCAAGCGCCTTCCAGTGAGTGTCTTTAACCAAAAATAGTGTTGCAAATAATTATGTAAAATGACAAAGTCGATAAAGTATTAATTTATTAAAACGCAGTCTTTTTTATTTGGTCACTCATTAAACAGTTTTATTTGAGCTCTATGGTATTTTATATTGATTAATTACTTGTCTCGTTGTTCAGTGTAGCTCCCTTATATCCGTTCATAAATGTGCACAGCGGAAAGGTAGGTCACAGAGATCATGCAAAACCCTTTTGAAACTATTTGATTGCAAAATTCTGTGCAAAATGAAAATATTGAAGTACATAGGAAGCACACTGGCTCCGTCTAAAACGTTATAATTAAATATCTAGCACTACATCGCCGTTGGAAGCACAAAATGGTTGAATTACTAAACGGGTCATTTCGCCAAAGGTTAAGAATGCATTAAAATTGCAATTTGAAATGCAATTATTATTCCTTCGAGATGACGCCGCCGACCGTGATGGACTTCAGTGTATGAATACAAAGTTATCATTTGAATTGTGTTTACCTGAAATCTACTCCTTATCATTTTTCTTTCAATCAATCTTATTTGGCATATTTTTTTTAATATTTGCTACCGGTGGTATACAATAGGCTCTAGCACTTTTCAGTATGTAATGTTTTCTTGCGATAGTGAATAATGACGTTATGTTGTCCAGTATTTCCCATACCGAAACTGAGGGGAAAAAATGGGGGTGTGTCTCAGCACTACGCAATATCATTTCTGTTTTTCATGAAAGATTGCTTGCCTGTCCCTACCCTTCCGTGTCCATTTATTTTGTTTGCATATTTAAAAATACTATAATTTTCTCCTCCGAATATAATCTGAAGAACCTAATACAATATGTGTCAGTGTACAAAACACGAAAAAACATATATTAAAATTACATATAACATTAGTATATTAATTCTTACAAATAAAAAAGTTACAATTAGAGAATGTGGCTCACCGAAACAAGAAGCTACTTACTCTAATACCAAAATATGAACCAACATTAACAATCATCAATGCCAAGATATACTGGTTAACAAAATCATCGCACCATAAAGAGCTAAGACATGCGCATACCCAAAACGACACGGAGCAGCAACAACCCGTCCTTCATAACGCGACAAAAATATATTGTGAGGGTGTTTTGGGGACAAAGAATAAGCAGGCGCAGACGACGGTTTGCCCAGCGAAGAATGAATCTATTCTGAAACGCGCAGAATCATGCCTCAGCACGCGCTGTCCCTCGAGCACTTCGGCGCCCAAGTTGGCAGCGCTGGTCGCGCTACTTGATCGGCACAAATGGTCCCTCTTCGGAGAAGGCCAATCTGACCGAAAGGTAGAGCCAGCATGCTAAGGTTCGGGCTTGCGAGGTTTCACTTAGCGAAAACTAAAACGTTTCAAATATACCAGATTAGAATTTGAGTGTATTTGAAGTACAGTTGATAAATATAAGTACACAAAAAATAGACCGAAAATGTACACTTCTTTTTTTTTACTTAGTACTAAAATATATTTCTGAAAATCTTTTTAAAATACCTTTACTTAAACTACATTTGAAGTTCCTTTCATACGTTCTGAAATATGTAAATTCTAAATTAGAAGACACAAAATACTTTTCACATAGATTACTTAAAATATATTTTTTTTTTTACGCAAAATATACTCCAACCCGAATAAAAATGCAGCTATCAAAATACGCGCAGAATGCTCTTAAAATTCCTGGAAATCGTAAACGCTGTTGTGTTACCACTAAGTATGCTTTGACTGCAATACTTTGGTAGTTTGACTTAAACTAGCGAAGTATTGAAAAGCTCGCCTATCCGTAGTTCACTTCAAGCAGATGGGGAGTACACTGAAGTGCCTAAATACAACATTTGATTAGTTTGTCAATTGAGCTGTGCAGCATCGCACCGATAGATTATCCCAGTATATGTTATTGTTTCCTTTTTATATCAAGAACACTCCTGATGAGTTTCTTGCACACCAATCACAAACAGGGCTCGGAAACTACAATCACAACACTTGCTGATGCTGGAAAGCTTCAGCAGTGCTGTGAGCAGATATGTTTGGCGTGGTTGTGTTTGTGCATTGTTAGTTCACTGAATGTGTATACTCACCAGTATACGTGGTGTGAGTAACTTTAATATAGTGACGTTAATGGCCATATTAAATAGTCAACTAGTAAAGAAGAGCAAAATAACTATTTTAAAGTGAAGAAACTGTCTTGACTCGCTTCGTCCTGAGTTGTGCTATGCAGAGAAGCAATAACATTTCTCCTTGGAGCCGTTCTTGTGGATATTGTTTTAGCCACTGCGCCGAATTATTATTAGTTGCACCAATGCTTTTTAGTAAGAGATCTCGTTCACGAACTTGAAAACACTGTTTCCTTTTTGACAGACTCCCGAGGAGAAGATCCAATACTTGAAACCACAATAAGTGCAGAGGTGGTCACCGGCCAAATGGTTACCTTGAATATGTAGGCTATATAAGGCTCTGGAGCAGACAATGGGACTGTGATTCAGGTGTTCATTGCGTCATGGTGTTTGTGCTTGTGTTCTTTTCTAATGTGTAATTGTGAAATGTATGTGGTACTACCCTCAAATACCACAAGAATACCATTTACTAACAAAATAAAAAAAAAAATTAAAAAAAATGTGTAGCCGGATTTTAACACACAAATGGCATCTTGAGGTGGAAGGAATTAGATATTTGGTATATCTAAAATCTCTTTTGATTAACGTTTATGATATATGAACACCTTAGGCGCGTATTTCAAATGTGGACAAAATAATACAGAACGAATACAAAATGATATGCATATTCATTATATTTCAACTATCTTTCAAGTGCAGCCACAATGTACATGAATGGACCCAGACAAACAGCAGATTTATCTATGTACAACGAACTAGCCCAAACCAAAGTCCCAGCTTTATATATGGCGCCTCCATGATCAATAAAATTATCACAAAGGATTATTTTGATTTGCTTACATTTTTTATATATAGAGTGTTAAAGTACTGTTCTGATATTTCCGATAAAGATGATCAATTAAAATACAATGTCTGTGCAAAGCCTTTGGTGGCATATCGAGTGACATTATCGGGGTCATTGAAACTATCTCTTAACACACTAATATCCTCAATCACTGAAAAACACCCGTATATACAGTGTGGGGAAACAGCGTAGGGCACATGAATAGCCATTGTAGTATCTACTTACTCCTTGAAAAGCTGAATGATGAACACCGTCACCACGAAGAGCTGAAAATCGGTGGACATGTACCAAAGGTGGAAGTACATCCCCTGTAATAAAAACACAATAAGTACAAAAGAACTGCATAAAGTGTGAATGCATACATCCCAGTATATGGTGCTCATGTGTCTTACGCATTGAAAACCACGCATGCCACGTGTCTTATTTCAATGCACAGTTAGAGTATTTAAGCACGGTCATTATCATATATTTCGGTTAAATATTATTGCATTTAAGTCAAACTTTCTGTGTCCCTTTCCTTTTCAAACAATTATCCTCCGCCGATCCTCATCAAAGTTGGTTATGTGCATCTGGGGTGTTTTTTCGTCCCCTCCACCCCCTCCTTCGCCTCATATACGGCGTTTCACTTTTAGTGCTTGCGTAACAGAAGCTTCAATTCACTGCTCCGGGCTTTCAGCATGGCTCGCGAGCCCACACTCTAGTGCTGTACAAGCGTCGTTCAGGGCGACATGAACGTGCTCATAGCCTCGGCTTTTATCCCACTAACAAGTGTAGTGTCTCAGTCCTCACGATATCAAACAGAGATAACTCGAAATTAGAGCATTGTTTTGTTCTCTTCAGCTTCCCAGCAAAGTTGAATCTTGCGGCTGCTGACCACTTGTATTTTGTAAATTTAATCGTATACAGCAGAGTTTTACTATGTCTTTATGCTCTGATTTGGTAGTTGGGGTCCGATGCTTTGCTTTCCCATTATCTTTTGGCGCGAAGTTAGTTTCATTAAGGAGGAACGTGAACACTAGATGTTGGTTTAAAGCGGCGTGATTATGTGTACGCGGGAGGATGCTACACGCATAGTAAACCTACTTTATATTTTAAAAAAAATTAAGTTTCTGATGATGTTCATCTAATGTGCATATATTAGCGTGCCTTACTTTTAATAATAAAATTGTATTACTAATATATGTTCTAGGTCTGTGTATGCCCTAGGCAATCTACTCATTTATTATGTATTCCAGGGTATCACTTACGATGTGGAGGTCCTTCGTGAAGTTCCGAATCTGAAGCAGAAGCGCCCAGTACTGGTTTCTAAACTCCGTATAAAAATTGCCAAAAATCTCTTTTGCGTTGGGTCCATTGATGAAGAGGGGCAACAGGAACGTGCACATAATAACGAAGAAGGTTGGCACTGTGCCCCTGCGGAAAGAAGAATACAGCGGCTCTAGCATGGAGCTCCTTCTGGATTAGATAAAGCAGACTTCCGTTGCATATTGCTCGAGAGTATATATTGTCACGAATGACGAGGTGACAAACGAGGAATAACTGAGGAAACTGAAAAGTTTAATGGGGCGAACTTGTGCCCAAAACCACGAGGAAACAGAAGATTACAACAGAGCGTCACCGGCGTCGAAGCCGGCGTAACTGCAGGATCGAACGCCGGGGCGCAACTGACCGGAGATTGCCACCCGGGGCCATTTATGTACGCGCCTTGGCATCTGGAACAATCGGCACAGAACGTTCGGCGATTAAAACATACGGAACTCGAACAGAAGAGAATATTGTAAAACTCACGAGAACGGCAAGTTGAAAGAATAAATAAAAGAACATTCCACTGACTGAACTCGAACCTAGACATTCCGCGCGAGAGTCAAGCACGGTAACCACTCGGTCACGCACGCGGTCGCTCGCCGACGCGTGTGGCATTCTCCCCAATTTAAAAAGGCATCGTATTGATGCCACGTGAAAGGCAACAAAATAAAACAAAAAACAAAGCAACAAAAATAAATGAATAGGAAAATACGGAAGCTGGCAAAACACAATACCATCAAAAGTTGCACAAGATCACAGTTCACAGTCATATCGCGCGTAGTACGGCTTGAGGCGCACGACGTGGGCAACTTCCGCTCGTGAAGGGCGGCGTGAAGTCCGTGTTCCGTCCGGCATCACCTCGTAGTTCAAATCGCCGAGTCGACGAAGCACTTTGTAGGGTCCGAAGTAGCGCTTCAGGAGTTTCTCGCTTAGACCGAGTCGTCGTATCGGTTTGCAAACCCACACACGGTCTCCAGGCTTGTAGCGAACGTCGATCCGGTGTAGGTTGTACCGGGTAGCATCGACACGTTGTTGATCTTGAATTCGAAGTCGGGCGAACTGGGGAACTTCCTCGGCTCGTTGAGCAACCACCTGGGCGTCGGGGATCCTATCGTCACCTAGGTCGTGGGGTAGCATTGCGTCGAGCATGGTCGTTACTTTTCTGCCATGCACCGGCTGAAAAGGGGTTAGTCTTGTGGTCTCTTCCACCGCCGTGCTGTAAGCAAACGGGACGTAGGCTAACCACCTCGTCCCATGTCTTCTGCTCTACCTCGACATACATGGCGATGATGTCGGCAACAGTTTTGTTCACCCGTCCTGTTAGTTTATTTGTCTGCGGATGGTGCGCAGTGGTTCGACGATGACCGGTGCCACTGAGACGAAGGATCTCTTGCGTCAACTGCGTCATGAACGATGATCCACAGTCTGTAATGAGGACTTCGGAGGCGCCGTGCCGGAGAACAATGGACTCGATGAAAAACTTGGCGACTTCAACAGCCGTACCTGATCGAAGGGCTTTCGTCTCGGCGCACCATGTGAGATAATCTGTGGCGACGATTGTCCAGCGGTTTCCTGACATTGACGGCGGGAATTGGTCAAGTAAATCCATTCCGACCTGCTGGAACGGCGTGGATTGGGGAGAGATCGGATGCAGAAGTCCTGACGGCTTTGTCGGCAGTTTCTTGCTTCGCTGACACTCATGGCATAATCGAATGTAGAGGTGAACGGTCTTCGGTAGCTTCGGCCAGTAGTACTTTTCTCGAATCCTGGCGAGCCTCCTGCTGTACCTAAGGTCTCCAGCCGTTGGGTCGTCATAGCATCCTTGGAAGATTTCTTCTCGAAGACTGGAAGGAATACCCAACACCCATGCCGTGTGATTATGCACGAAGTTCTCTTTGTACAGCACCCCTTGCCTATGAAAAAAGTAGGCGGGATTCGCAAGAAAGCACGGGGAACCGCACTCGCTCGTCCCTCTAGGTGCTCAATGAGCGCTCGCAGTTCAGGGTCGTCACGTTGGAGTGCTGCCATGTCACTGACATCCAGAGCGCCGAGGTAACTCTCATCGTCGTCGTCTTTGATGCAGGCAGGAGCGGCCTCGACTGGGGCACTTGACAGGCAGTCGGCGTCATTGTGCTTCCGACCGGACTTGTGCACCACGGTCATGTCGAATTCCTGCAGTCGTAGGCTCTAGCGGACGAGGCGTCCGGGGGTCCTTCAGATTCGCGAGCCAGAAAAGAGCGTGGTGATCCGTGACCGCGCGAAACGAACTTCCATACTAACATGGGCGGAACTTTTTTATTGCCCCGACGACAGCAAGACACTCCTTTTGAGTCGTTGAGGAGTTCCTCTTTGCCCTAGACAGCATCAGACTCACGTATGCGATGACTCGCTCTGCCCCGTCTTGCATTTGGACTAGTACCGCGCCAAGTCCGGTGTTACTGGCGTCCGCGTGGATCTCTGTTTTAGCAAACTGGTCGCAATGGACAAGAATCGGGGGCGTCTGGTGTCTTCGTTCGAGTTCATCGAATGACCGCTGGTGTTCTTCTGTCCATTCAAACATTACGGCGTCCTTCGTGAGGTGCGTCAGCGGTGCGGACAGCTTGGCGAGGTCCCGAATAAACCGTCTGTAGTACGCACAGAGTCCGAGAATCGTCACGGTCTTCTTGTCAGAGGTCGGCTTAAGCAAAGCTACGGCACGAGTCTTCCCGGGGTCAAAGAGAACACCTTTGTTGTTTACAACGTTGCAAAGGAACTTTAGTTCACCATAGGTGAACCGACACTTTGTTGGCTTGGGTGACAGGCCGGCGGTCTTGATGGTAAGAAGCACGGCTCGAAGTTGTCTAAGGTGTACGTCGAAATCGCGTGAAAATACCACGACATCGTCCAGGTAGACGCGGCAGCTCTGCCATTTGAGACCGTCCAGCACGATGCCCATGACACGCCGGAAGATGGCTGGTGCTGTACAAATTCCGAACGGCATCACTTTGAATTCGCGGAGTCCGTTGGGGGTGAAGAAGGCATTTTTCTCGCGGTCGCCGTTCGTCGACTTCAATCTGCCAGTAACCCCTCTACAGGTCCACCGACTGAAAAATATCGGGAGTGGCGAAGCCGGTCTAACGGATCGTTGATGAGGGGGAGCGAATAGACATCCCTCTTAGCCACCGCGTTCAGTGGATGATAGTCCACGCAGAACCTCAGCGTCCCTTCCTTCTTTTTTACAAGGACAACTGGGGACACTCACGGACTTCTTGAGGGTTGAATGATGTCGTCGTTGAGCATTTCCTGAACTTGATCCGGAATCACCTTCCTTTCCTTTAAGGCGACTTGATACGGCGACCGGTGGTAAGGGAGCGCGTCGTCGTCGGTAATAATGCAATGTTTCGCCATTGGTGTTTGACGAACTTTCGACGACGTGGCAAAACAGTTACTAAATTCGGCGAGGAGGTCATCTAGTTGCCTGCGCATGGGAGCTGGGAGCCCGGGGTTGAAGTCGAACTGCACTGGTGACGTGGTGTTCTGCTGTGATGACGAGGATTCCTCGGATATTTCGGTGAGCACGGGCGGCGTCTGAAACTCCCGACGTGGTCCACGGTGGTGCCCTTCGTTAGGTGCTGCGGCTCCTGTCGCAAGTTTGTGACAAAAACAGTTGTACGTCCTTTGTGGAGATCCCTCACGCCTCGTGCGACGCCAATTTCGTTTTGAACGAGCAGTTAGACTCTGCCTTCTAGAAGGGTTTTACCGCGCATGGCTGCGTCGGTTATGGCCGTAACGAAAACACTCGACCGCGGCGGCAGGTTTACATGGTCAGCGATAACTCGGATCGCGGTTGACGTGTTGTTGTTCTGCAAGGAAGTCGGAACACGCTTTCGCAGCGTCAAGTGGTTTGCCTTGAGGTTGAAGACGGCGCCATGCTCGCAGAGAAAATCTATTCCCAGGATGACGTCCCTCGCACAGTCTTGCAGAACGACGAACTTCACAGGACACGTCTCACAGTGGATATCGACGCGAGCAGTGCATCTTCCGACTGGCGTGATAAGGTGCCCTCCGGCGGCTTGTATTTGAAGTCCATCCCACGGCGTCGTCACTTTTTGTAGTTTGCGAGAGAGCCTCCCACTAAAGAGTGAATAGTCTGCTCCGGTGTCCACGAGTGCCAGTGCGTCGTAGCCGTCGATAACAACGTTAAGGTTGTTGGACACCGATGCAGGAGCGTCATTGTGATGTGTAGCGTCGGGAGAGTGGGACCGCTCCGGTCGTTCTTGGAGCCTCTTTATTTGAGCCGTCTTCGGCAACGCCACCTCCCGGCGTTGCCGCAGTTAGTTTCCCCGGCGAGGAGCGAGGGGCGACAGGCTTTGCCATCGGGGTGGGTGCATCGGCGAAGATGGACGTCGCGGCGACAGCGACCGGAACTAATGGCGGGACACAGGCTCGGGGGACTGAGGTCGTCGCAGGTACTTGTCGATCTCCCGACAGCGTTTACCATAACGGGGGTGCGGTATGGGCATCGGCGGTAGGTGTGGTCGGCTTCCCCGCGGTGGAAGCACAGAGGGCGTCGGTCGGGCGTCCGCCATACTTCGGTCTTCTGGGGTGCGCGGGGCTCCTGGCAGGCGTAGTGAGCCTGGTCGTCGTGGCGTTGGTCGTGGTGCGGCGCAGGAGACTGCCATCGGGGCGGCGCGACATAGGGGCGAGGAGGAGGCGGTGGCGGTCGGGCCACTGTGGAGTAAGTCAGCGTGTGTTCCTCGGAAGCTGCCGCGACGTCGGGAGCCTCTGGTTGAATGGCTCTCTGAACTTCATCCCGCACGGCCTCTGTGTTTGAAAACGAAACTGGTCGGTACGCGGCGGGTAGCAGCTTTCGGAGCTCTTCCCGGGCGATGTCGCGAATAATCTTGCGAATGCTTGGGATACTGGAGCAAAGGTCGCCGCTAGACGCCCCGAGGACAGCGAGGCCGGGTAGTCGCTGGTAGTGGATGGTTCTGGCTTGCGGGGCACGCTCGATTTTCGTTGCCTCGGCGACAAAATCTTCGACAGTTGTCGGAGGGCTCCGGGCTAGGCCACCGAAGATGTCTCTCACACCCCGCATGAGGATTCGTAGCTTCTTCTCTTCTGTAGCCCGAGGGTCGACGCGGGCGCTCATGCGCAGAACGCCCTCCACGAAGCCGGTGATGCTCTCGTTGGGGCCCTGGGTTCTGGTTCGCAGTAGGTCTTCGGCTCTCTCTCGGCGATGGTGGTTGATTAATCAGATCGGTCCTGAAAATGTCCCACGACGTCGAAGAGAACTCATAATCTTCCCACCAGTGCTTGGCGGCCCCCTCCAGCGAAAAATAGACGTTGTGCAGGCGCTGATTGTTGGTCCAGCCATTGTGGTGGGCAACGCGTTCATACTGGTCAATCCAGTCTTTAACGTCTTCGCATCGCTCGCCGTAGAACGGAGCAGCCGTCCGCGGCGCGACGGGCAGGTAAACGACGCCAGAAGCTGCCAGGGTCTGCGGCCGTTTGGCCATTTTCGTTTTCTTCGGTTTGGGCTTGTCTGGCAGCAAACCCAATTCAGGAGCCTGTCCCTCGATGCGGAGGCTGGCCCGAATTTCACGTTCCTCGTAGTGCGGTCTTCTCGACGGGCTTGGAATGGGACTTGCGCTGCGGGCCCTCGTAGGGGTACTCTGCACGGACACCCGTTACCCCGCACCTCCACCAAAGTGTCCCGAATGACGAGGTGACAAACGAGGAAAAACTGAGGAAACTGAAACGTTTATTGAGGCGAACTTGTGCCCAAACCAAAAGGAAACAGAACATTACAACAGAGCGTCGCGGGCGTCGAAGTCGGCGTAACAGCAGGATCTAACGCTGGGGCGAGATTGACCGCAGATCGCCACAATCCGCCTTGAACGATCGGTGACTAGAACATTGGGAACTCGATCAGACGAGAATGTTCTCGAATTCACGAGAGCGCGAAGTTGAAAGAATAAATAAAAGAACATCCCTCTGGCTGGAATCGAACCTAGACTTTCCGAACGAGAGTCAAGCGCGGTGGGTCGCTCGCCGACGCGCGTGGCAATATGTTGCGTAGGAAGTTTGAAACTTATTCTGAGATTTATCTATTCTCATGGCACCGTTATCTAAATTTATGTTTTTAACATTATCTACTAAATATTCTTTAAACGTAATAAAATTAAACAGGTTCGTCACAATAAACGAACACATTCAAAACAAGAAAGATGCACCGAAATGGTTTCTTGGTTATAGAACAGATGACCTTCAATGTTGAGCGAATAATTAATATTTTAAATGTTTTTAAATGGCCGTTCCAGTTTTTTTTTAGAATGCGCTCTTTCCTTCTTTTAGATATTACAACAAGAAGCCACTGTAATAACGGTAATAACGGTAGCTACGAAAGGCTAATTAAGTATTCAGGTCTATCAATGAAAGGACTAGAAGGGATATCAGACATATTTACGAAACTTAATAAAAAAAATTAACTTAATACAAAACTTGTTTCGAACAATGCGGAGACCAAGTCGTCTGCTTCTTGCGAAGGAGTTGTGTTAACCTCATAACGGCGCCAAGCTCTTCACGGCTGATTGAAACAAATAGTTGGTAGACCTCAATGCTAGATGCCTAAACGCCTATCGACCATTCTTTTCAAATGAGCCAATCAGAGCTTACCGTTCTGACACAGTCGCGACCCTTGCGCAAAAAGCAGACGAATTTCTCTCCTCATACCACCTAATTATATTGCCGCGAGCGCAGCTGGCCAAGAAGGCAGCGCGATCATTGTCTAACGCTTATCGCGCGTGCTTTTCACGCTGAAAGCAAGGGTTCGATTGCTGGCCGCGGAGGCGCATATTAAAGTAATGTTCTGGTAAATTCGAGAACCATGTTGCTTGTTCGAGGCCAGAATGTTCTACGCGCCGAACCTTCTACGCCGAACGATCCAGAAACGCACGAGGGTACATAAGGGATTCCGCAAGGCGAGCGGAGTCAGTCTCGCCCCAGCGTTCGACTCAGCTGTTACGCCGACTTCGACGCCCGCGACGCTCTGTTATTATCGTTTGTACCCTTTTATTTTTGGGCACAAGTTCGCCCCATTAAACGTTTCAGTTTCTCCAGTTATTCTTTGTTTTCTCGCCTGTTTATTTGTGACAATATTGTCGCGAACTACTTCTTTCATCAATAAAAAAAAAATGCTCTGCAATGGTATTTGCACTAACCACTATAGGGGATAGAAGAGCGAAACAGAATAGCGACTACCCTAAGGATGCCTTTGATGCCTAGTGTGTCTCATGCACGAGCAACTATTTATACTCATTGTTGTCTCTGCCTTCGGAGCCAATTTTAAGCGGCGTAATTCTACAATTTATAAAAATTTGCATATATAAGTAATTTGGATATTTCAGTCTCATACAGTATACATTACAGTAAAAAACGTTTACACCATGGACATCGTGGCCCCTATACCTTAAGCATTTTTGCAGCTCTTACCTAATCCACCGCCGGACGACAACAATGCATCCTCCAACAAATCCGTTGACGCGTTCTCTCACCAAGTTGTACGTCAGAAGAAAGCCGCTGAAAAGGCGTAATAGATACTCCTGACTCACAATGTCGAATTGCAAAGCACCGTATTCCAATGCAAATAATATCGATAAGCTTGTTTCCTCTTTTAAAGTATCGTGTCCTCCTGAAATATTGTACACATAAACAATTCTGGTTTGTTAAAACAATCAATCGTTCCACACACCTGGAATGACAACCATATAAACACAAATTTATTTACCCTTAGCCTTAGGTTAGGGTGACAAGCGAGGGATGACGCAACGTGATGTAAGATGAAGGCCTTGAACACTGTGGGGTACTTAGAAAAACAGTATGAAGATCAACATTATCTTAGATTGTTCACTAGGTTGTGAATGAGGTTTATATAAAGTTAAAAAATAACACATTGAGATGCTGCTTTAATTAGGACATCGCTAAAACACACAGGTGAGGTGCGTCGTGGAGCGAATCTCAAATCACAACATATGCCGTGCGCAAAGTAGTTAACGATGTTGTGCAGTGCTTTGTCTCTCGAAGGAACGAGGTATTTCTTTGTTGCAAATAATTATGTTTTATGAGAGAACTCAATTTGAGTATTTGCACATAACATTATAGTTAACTCATCTGGCACGCTTAACTAAAAAATTGGAGCGACCAAATAAAAGCTACGCCTAAAAAAGAAACAGAAAGGAACGGACATTTTATTTTTTTAAGCTAGATAATAGCGTGCTGTCCTACAAAGCATCGCTTATGTATCAGTAAACTTTCAGCAACTACAGATGAGTTGTTTATAAAGCAGAAATTGACCATGTACATAGATTTTTCAAGAGTGTATTTTGATTAATCATCATGGGATCCTTATAACGACTTAGAATAAAAGAGTGTTGCACCGTAGTAATTTTAAGCACATAATTCATCACTTGGAGCTGCTTGAAAGCAAGCGTCAATCACCTGTTAAGAGGTTCTTTGCACTGGATTTGTTAGTGCACTCAATGGCGGTCTTGTTAATATCTAGCCAATCTGCGCAAATAATCACTTACCTGGGTGGCTTCCTATTTTGATTCAAGTACCACCTACCTCCATTCGTTCCACTTTTCAGAACTCATCTCTTTTGGTCCAATACCGTATGTTTCTAGTTGAAATACCCGATTCAAAAATCGCCTACCACATGCTTCAATTTATCCTGATGGTCCTCGTTTTCCTTTTTCGTCCACGTCGCTCAATCGACTTGGATGTCTAAATAACATAACCTGGTAATATAACCTGGTAATATCAGTAAGCAATTTAATGTTTTTACGCATTTAAAAAAAAGAGAACCTGGACACTGACTTTCTTTGATGCTTGCCTTTTTTTTATTAACTTTCGTGGAGAATCGACAGCTGCCGAACTGGGAAGTTCTATAAGCTATCACATTGTGTTTTCCAATTGCTTATAAGTCATCCATTTGAATGTGTCCTCTTATGCATGCAGGCAATAATAAACCACATGTCCTACGTGTCAAAAAATTCTATACCCAGCAACGAAATACAACGAGCCAAAATGTCGACAAAACATTTGGTTTTCGACGCCGCGGGGTACTAGAAAACGTTCTCGATTATTGATTTTGTTCAAGATTTGCGACAATGTGTGTTTATATATCGGTGCGCCTGCCAGCGCGAATAATGATTCACCTCTTTAGCAGCGTGATTGCTCGCTAGTTCCGAAATGCACCAAACCATTAGGCTATACCTAATCAATAAAGCTCATAAGGGCTTATACAATACCTTAATAATTATGTTGCATGCCGCTATTGTGAATATAATATTGGTAATATTGAGTATTAGGTATTGTTTTATTCTAAAAAATGGGGTGCAACATTAATGCTTCGGTAGAGTGATTTTGCAAGTTCACTGTAATCAATTTGAAAACAAATTGATTTGGCCTTAACTAACTGTTTTCTCATGGCGAGCACTCCATGATGTGAAGAAATAAAGAACTTCAAATTTTTTTTTTCTACTAAAATATGTATGGCTAATTACTAGGTAACTGTGTTGCATACATAAAACGTCCAAGCATCAAAATCCTTTAGCGGAATTCTGCGTTTTATGTATGTAATTGTAAGTAGCATGTCTTCACTCCAAAAAGTTTGTTTTGAAGTACATCTAGCCCGTTTCGACAGACGCCTACGTTCACGGCGCACTTCGCGACAGCATTTAACACATGGCATATGTACACTTGAAAAGATAAGCCTGGCGATCTTTGAGAATTTTTCAACCCACTCCTTCTCTGCCACCCTGCCTCCTCGCATACCTCTCCTCCTCGCTCCCTCCCCGGTCACAAGACCTCCCCGATAACCATTCAGCGTCAAGCACGTGACTCCTGCTCTCCCACCCGTCAACCAATCAGTGTCGAGCCTCGAGGCCACACTTTTATCCCGGCTTCAGTTTTGCGCTTCACAAAATGCCGAACTCCTAGCCAATAAAATTTCAAGCTCATCGTCTAGCTGTGATAAAATTCATTGTATCAAAAATTACACACATACAAAAATAGGTGATTTTTTTGTACTATGCTTTACGGGTTAAGTACATTTTAACATTTATTTTCTAGTTAAAATTGTTTGGTGCTAAATGCAAACCTTGAAATAAAACCCCCGACAATATAATGTTATCAGAATACTCACGCCAGAAAGAGGAAAGTGTCCACACTCAGGTAGCCAGCCGTTATAAAGCAGCCAGCGATGTCGTCGCCATAGTGAAGTGCATTGACCAGACGGGCTGAGGAGAAGAACGACAGAGAGGTACATTGACTTAGATGCTTTGACAAATAATGAAGTGCTACATCAACGCTTTCCGAAATGCCCGTGTGCATGCGTCCCAGCTATTTTGTCGATACTTCTCTCCTTTGATAGTCAGTACAGGTTGCTAAAGTAAACTTGTTTTAAGACTCAAAAAAATAAAATCTTTTGCGCACATTATAAGAGGGAAACGGGGATATAGTATTGTCGACAGACCAACAGAGCAAGATACTAATATTTTTGCGATGGTTCAAACTGGCTCATTGACACACAGTAATTAGCTATATTTTTAAATAATAACTAGTGTGCAGACCTTACTATCAAATAGTCGTAGTCCGTGTTGAGGTAGATCCAATCGTATCGTATTCATTATAGTAGTTTGTGTGCGTCTAATTATTTCGAGTTCCGTTTAAAACAGAACAAAAAAACTCCCGGACTTTCTTTAAGGCCTTCAAATATGGACACAGGAAGGCTACTTGCATGTGAACGAAACAAGTGGATATCTCTAAACACGTTTTAAAGCTTTTGTAATTGAACGCTTGATCACAAAAACCTCTAAACGATGATGCGTGAAGAATACTGTGCGATTAAACATTACACGCGCAGCGTGGACAGGTATTCTTAACCGACCAACCAACTTCAATAGTTGTGTGGAGAGAAAGGTATAATCTTCTTCCATCCACTGAGCACCGAATTCACGCTCTGCATTTTCAGCAAAATTGAACTAAATTACTGGAGTAGCTCAGCGGCCAAAAAAACCTAAATATAATAGTGCATTTTTTATTACATTGTAGGCCATCATTAATGCGGTGTAGGCCCAACAGGAGTAACGGCCAATGTTCGCGCTGACTACATGCCTTTCTACGAACGAAATATGCGCCTTGTTTAGGTCTTCCAGTAATCCGAGAAACAATTTTTGCCGAGTGAAGAAAAGAAAGCTCCGGGTGACCATGCATTACGAAACACCGAGCAATGGTGCAGATTAGGAATGTTCTTCACGCGCATTGCGATTTGCAGGCTAAATTTCCCTCTCTAGGTAGGTACATAAAACAACTGTTTTGTTTTTTTACAATTGCATTCAGACTTTCGTCTACCAAATGTTAATTATTGTATTTTTGTTATAATCAACGAATACTGAAATATGATGAGACAGGTGTCTTGTCAAATAAAGCAATACACGAGCAGTTAACTGACAAATGCATGTCCACATGTTGCACAGTATTCATTATATGTAGTAACTTATTACAAACATGAAACAGGAAACAAATTGTGATATTTAGAGCTTTTCCAGGACGACATGAAGCTCTTGCTAATAGCCATCAGCGATGGGTCCGCTTTGTTTACATTTTATTTGTGACCACCCAGTAATTATTTTTCATTATTCTTTAATGGGTGCAGTGTAAAAGCGGAAAAAACATTGCAGGACAAGACGGGAAGTAAGCACACATCCAGCGCTGTGTTTGTAGGTAGTCTCCTCCGATATGCGAGCCCCGTATGCCGTCGCAGTTAATTTGGCGGTACTAAGCAACGCATAGCCTGAGGCACTTTATTTTTAGGGAGGAAATAGAGCAAAGACTCACCCACTTTTATGACCCAAGCAAAATGTGCCTGGACAAAGCAAACCGATCTTCAGGCGTCTGAAATTGCCTTTTCGAATGGGTCTCCGATATCGTTGAATTATGCTAATTTTTGTAGTCCAGCGTTTTTATTTATTTTATATATATATATATATATATATTATTGTCTTTACCTGAACCATGCACACACTAACCAAATGTATGCCTTGCAACCTAATACATGTGAGATTTCAACTGCAATACATCTTGGGAATTTATCAATTTATGGAACTGTCAACCGCTCACAGACGTTGGAAAAGTTGGAGGTGCTATACGAGTGGCCCAGGACGATCCAGACAAGGCTGAAGAACCGGATTCCATGGAGGAAGCGAAGCTTGTAAGCGTCCGACTGCTTGTCCCTGTTTACAGCCAGCATAGTTTTTGTGCTCGCAGGAATGGAGAAGGCCGTTAAGTACTGGACCAGTCTTCCTGCGGTAAGAAAAATTGTCACGTGTTGTGAGCACTTTAAACTGGGGTTTATTTCCAGAAGAAATTAATTCATTAGGAGAGAAAGACTGAAATTGTGTCAAAAACTAGAAAAAAAAAAAAAACTTTGCCTACTGAAAAAAATTATATGAATTTTTACCTGATATGTTTATTGGACACCTTTTGCAAATCAGAACTTATTATTTCATATCAGTTTCATATGCCGCATATCATTACACTAGGCTAGGTGGCGCTAGGTACCGCCCAATTCATGCGCTACAAAAATATTTTTATTTACTCACGCCACCATGTAGATACATTACGCATACACCTAGCATCAGTTGAACATATACATTGAGTGCATACACGCACACGGCACAACAAACATGAATACAACACCACACCCAATAACTACTTCGGAGCTCTGCGTTTCCGCCTTTTATACAGGTTGTTTTGTAAATCTTCAACTTTGAAACTCTAACCAAGCTTTATTAAAAAGCAAAAATCCCGACGTTTCGGAACCAACTCGGTCCCTTGATCACGGGTGACTGTTTTTGTCCCGCGGAACGGCCTGCCCACGTTCGGGTTCGTGGGCAGGCCGTTCCGCGGGACAAAAACAGTCACCCGTGATCAAGGGACCGAGTTGGTTCCGAAACGTCGGGATTTTCGCTTTTTAATAAAGCTTGGTTATATTTTCAAAGTTGAAGATTTATTAATCATTCCTAACCAGACGGATGTCCGTCGAAAATGTTTACATTTAGGTTGATTTGTAAGTACCCTATTGAAAAAGGCCAATATGAACTCGGCTTATTGGAAATATTGTATTCCAATGAAGATGATGGAAACCAATAAAAACTTATTGTTATCCGATTAACCCAATACGCACGATGGGAATTCATATCGGAGCACAATATCTCGATATAGTATGCGGTTATTGGTATACAACAGGATATTGGAGCACAATACCGCGATATAACTTACGGTTATTGGTATACAACACGATATCGGAGCACAATACCCCGATATACTACACGGTTATTGGAACAGAATACGACATCGCGTGCATATTGGTGGCCGACATGGACATACTGTACGGCCACACGATATAGAAATATTGGTCGTCGATCATGGGACCAAAGGAGAATACAATATGATATCGCGTGCATATATCTCAGAACGCGGGTACCAAGTTACCAACATGCATTACGTAGGCATATCCACACGGCAATACGCGAAAAATATATTGGGCGTGGATACACACATAACATAAACGTTCTGCGTTGCGAACACATTAACATTGATCGACAGTGCAAGTATGTACAGCTTTTAGTACGGCACACAGTACACACAGCCTCGCGCGCTTGAAACTAGACAACCACCAAACCATTCAGAATAACTAGCCGGAACACCCGCCGCGACCTACCTTTTAATGAGAAAGCCCAATAACGACGTGCTCATTGGAGTGATCGTTTTCCAACAAATGTTTATTGCAGTTGTAATGCAACAAACGTTGATCGCCAAACGATAAACCCAACGTACCGGGATACAATTCGATGTTGCAACACACCATCGCAATACAACAAGAAACTATCGGTGTTGGGACACGACCACCACATCGAATACGATATCAATACGAAGTTACCGACGGTGAGAAATACAACATCATGACACGATATACTAGTTACCGGTGTTGGGACCGAAATCGAACGCGATACGTGACAATGTCGGTTCGCACGATAAAATAATGACGGTGAATAGGTTTGACAGGTCACGTGCATGTAGTTGCTTCTTACGCGCACATTTATCGATATTGACCCACCTTTCTGGGTAATCCTACGTGGTACACAAAATCCACGACGACATGCGAGCACATTTCACCCACCACTTTTCGTCGCCTGTTTCGCGAGATTCACACACTGTCCAAAAAATGACGTGATAAATACGTGCACTTGCGCCATCAAACGATACGTTACAGCCTCGTTTCTCGAGAAGACAGTTTCCACCGCCAACACGCGCGCGCGCGCGCGCGCAAGCAGTTTGGACTTTGAACTGTTCGAACTTCGAAGGGAGCGAGCCCGGCTGGCCCGGCGCGATGCCGGCGTGCTGGCGAGCCGCCAAGACGAGCAACGAGCATGCTGAGCATGCGCAGTGCGCAGCGGGCGGGCGTCGGTTGCGCCACTGTCATCACCACTGCTGTGTATTGTGCGACCCGGCCAGCCTGGCCAGCCGGCGTGATTGGCGTTCGTCGCACTCTGTACTCGTGGGCATCGAGCGAAACCTACACACTTTCAATTGCTTCGAAAGGTACGTATACACGACTCTATTACTTGCAGCATTGAGTGCTTTGGCGTACGCGGATCAAAGCAAACACCGAAGGACACAAAGGAGACGTGAAGTTTTTAAATCGAGGCCTCTTTGAACGCCTGTGTCCCCTGTTGAAAGCACCTAGCTGTGCTCTGTTGCAGGCGTCATTTCGACTGCGTGTGCTCCAATGTAACGTCAGTCACTGGTCAGTGGTCACACTCGGCTAGCTTTGCCAGTTTGTTATCTGATGTGCGAAATAGACGTAGAAACCAGCGCCGCGTCTCTTTCGGATACTCAGACTCCAGCCCCCTTACTTCCGGCGTGCTTTCTGCCGCGCCCGTTCGGCGCATTGTCTTCGCGGGCGCGTCAGGCTCGTTCGAAGAGGCGTCGTTTGAAGCTGACGAGTCGCCGAAGTGTACCGGAGCTTCTCTTTAGGAAAGTCGCAATCGACGCTCGGCGGCTCGGCTCTGAGCTCGTACTTTTCTCCTCCCGGGTATACCATGAGTGCCGATGAACGAATTTGAAAAAGCGCTAGCGAGTGACTTTGTGACGCCGCCCAACTGTCCTTATATCAACGGCGCAGAGCAAATGATGTACAGAAAAAAAAAAACGCGTTTTTTATATTTTGTTGGCTATGTTTCACCTCAACACAAAGTGAATCGCGGCTGTACGTCGGTTGACTCATTACTGTGCCTAGATTGTAACGGAACCTTTTTGGTGTGATCTTATTCTGATATCGTTATATCTCGCCTTTTCATCTTGGCTGCACACCTCTAGACGACATTCTACACATTGCACTCCTTGTCGACATGTCGCTGGTGCTTGAGACTAATTGGAAGTCACTGTTTGCTCACTCCTTGGTGCACACATTTTATGTTCAACATCAGTTATCTGAAGGAGGCTCCATGAAACCCTGGAATTTGTTTAGAGGTACCTCTACATACTGTGTTAGAGTGCTGTTTTGTGCGTTGTAGGTTCGCACAAAACCAAATTGCACCTTGTAATATACCCTTTGACTGTTTACTACAATTAAAGTTGCAATGAAACATTGGCCACGAGAGGTGACTCTGCCAACGTGGCCAACAAATTCCTCACATAATTTTCTCCATGGGTCATTTTGGATGTTGACAAATTTTCTTGTGAATAATGAGTGTTATGCACATATGTTTCTTCTACTTTTCAGACAGGTACTTCAGTTAGATAAACCCCAGCAAAAGCAGCAAGAGAGTCTCGTAGGGTCACACCAAGGATAACGGCATTCCTGCTCGAGTCCCAGGTCTTCTCACCGTACTTCACTGAGCATAATGGTACATTCCCTTTCCTTAACTTTGTGGGAGCCAAGGGTGAAAGACGACGCAGAGGGCACGTGACAGGCGGTCGGCGGAGAAAGAAGTCACGAGCTGGCGCGAGACAGTGCGTGCTGAACGAGGCTGGAGCTGGGCAGGAACATCGGAGCCGGGCTGCCTGGCTTGGAGCGGTCCACCAGCGAGGTTCAAACCGGACCGGTAGAAACGGCGAGTCCTGGCCATCTAGCCTAGGCCACGACGATCCCGGGGTGGTTCCGCAGCGAGACTCGGGCAGTGATAGCCCGGGACAGCCAGCCTACGCAGCGCTGGCATGGGAAGGACGATCCGCAGGCCTGGGCACTGACTCCGACCGTGAGCTCTGATCGACGGACGACAACAAGGGTCGGCGTGCCTGGACTGCTGGCTCTGAACGACGGGCAACCGTGAGGTAGTAAACTTATTCGCTGTCTTCTCGGTGCTGTATGTCACTCCCTGGGTGACGGGCGGAGCGCATACCGATTGGGCGGTGATTATTAGTAGCTAAGCGAACTCCATAAAGAAACCAGCATTAAAATGGCACATCCAACGTGGGGCTCGTTTGGTATGCCTCTGCTTCTAGTCGTCCCCAGGGAGTCTCACGGATTCGTTGAGCGGGTTGTTCACTAACGCTAACGATGCCCGTTGAGACAAATATGTTAAAATTTTGGCGACTTGTCTCACGGTAGAGCTCAGCAGGTGTCTCCTCGAATCAAGTACCTAAGGGGCTCGAAGAACGAGGTTGAATACACGCTTTCTCGGGTACCCTAGAATAGTGGTTGGCAGGAGTCGGGGAGCGCGGTTAAGATGTAAGAAAGTCGTCTCCAGAGGCAGAGGAGAGTCACGGCATGTTCGCTGGAAGGCAGGATAACGAGTGGCAGGAGGGGAAACAGCCAGGACTCAATGCAGATTTAGGATTTAGGCTTGGGGTGATGCGGTAGACAAGTAAGCACTTGTCGAGGCCTGGAGTGCAGATGGGTTTTTGACAGTGGGTGTTGGAAAGATTGCGGAAATGGCAGTGGACACCGGGAACACCGGCAGACGAGATTGTCAGCGGGTGTCGGGTAAACTGGCGGAAATTGCGGTTGGCACCTGGAACGCTGGCAGGCGAGTAAATGAGCACTATGATTTGTAACTGCTGGGCCAAGACGGCTAGCTTCTTCGCGTCAGTCCAACAGTCGACAAAAGGCGGAGGGACGACTCTCCCTTGAGGGGGGTCGTTCCAAGAAAGCTACGAATTGATTTAGATGATTCTTTCTCGACTTCACTCTGGCCGGTCGTGGCACTGACAGCAAGACTTTTAATAAGTTATGTCGCGTCACGGCCTGGCCGGGGATGCGGCGGTAGACATTTAGGTGGCTTGTAGCTGTCCAGCTT